GAAAAAAAACCGAATTGAGCACTTACACCAAAGTGCAAATAAGCTAGGGCCTGATTGGGCTAACTTGCTTAGCAAAATTCTATATATCTTCAATTTGGAAGATCCTGTATCATAACTTTTTGAGCTATGTCTTAATCCTCAATCTGAATCTATTACCCAAACTAGTATAACTTTGTCAGATTAGGGCAAAGTTATTAGAGCCCTATCCCGCCCGCCTGTCCCGTGATACTAATATTGAATACCACTAATAAGATACAAGAATATAGATCTCTAATTGATACAAAACAAGTTATGCACATATTTGAGATTATTCCCAGATTTCAATAATATCAGATTTTATATTCAATTAAATAATTATTATAATTAACACTAAATCATCAATATTGTCGAATATTTTAATCTTTTTTATTCCCTTCGAATATAAATATTGATAATTAAATAACATTTCTTCATTATCTAAACTTTATTAGAATTAGTTTTAATTTTCAGGATTATATTTCAGTTTTCCCATATATCTTTATAAGTATCCGTTTTGAGTGATATCTACAATAGTGAGTTTTCAATTATCTAATACATACTATCTACTATATCAAAAGCTTTATACGCACCATCGTTTTACTATAATATACTATTGCCTACACTGGATTCAAGTTATAGATATAGCATTTGAGTGTGATGACTTACTCAAGTATCAAAATATTATCTAGGTCCTACCTAGTATCTCAACCTCCAGATTAGTTTAACCTAAGTTTTTTAGCCCTCTCAAAAGAAGACATGAAGACTCTCATATAAAACAAAAACCCAATACTGCCAAAGGGAATTTCAGAACAATTCTAAAATTGAAAACAGAAGAACAGGTAAGATTCCTCCTAATGTCAAAACTACTCACCCTCACCCATCCATCCTAATCAGAATCACAATACGCAACGAAGCTATTCCCAGGTATCAGCAAGCATCATGCAAAATCCTATCCCAATATCATAAATAACGTAAAGTTTAATAAGATCTTACTGCGAGCGAAACTTAGTGCGGGTCACGTGACCTCTTTTTGTAGCTAGTATTTATAGGTCTTCTTTGTGTAGTTTAGAAAAAGCAGTCAGTTTCCCACCCACCTTCTTGTACGTTTCGTGAAGCGCTATGTAGAGCCTCCCTCTCCTCTCCTCCGTCAGAGGCACTACGTCTCAGTGACTTATCTGTGGTATTTACGAAGGACTACTCTATGACCCTACCACCTTCATCTCCTTTACATTACATATCCCCTCTTTCACTTGCGAGTATAAAGCTTTAGTTAGACTAATAGTGTGCGAACTAATATGCACAGCGCCACCCAAACTTCTTTTAAAAAAAACCGGTATAAGAAACTATAGCAAGGAAGTACATACGCTTCGGACACCTCTCCCCCAGTCTCCATCCATCCGCATCCCGGCAACAGGAAAATTTAGCGAGAACCTTTGACAGATTAACCAAATCAATTAAAAGTGGACTTTTCAACCCCGTTAGCCGATATAATTAGATAAGAGCTCGCTAATTACAATCAATCCATTTACTACGCACTATTATAGTGCTTAGATGTTACAACGGATTAGTAACAGGCTGTAGAATCACTGACTTATAGGCTATAATAGTATTATAGGCCTTAGTGATTCAGCTGCAGTATACCAAGGGATACTGGGTACCCAAAGAAAACCTCAGGTATGTATATAGTATTAGTTATAGAATACCCTAGGAACCTAGAATATAATTTCCAGAATAATAAGTTCTAGGAAAAACAAGATATAGTAAACAAAAAGACTTCACTAAGATTAATATCACGCTAAAAGTGATATCACCGATAGCATTAAGCTAATTGGGTTTATATAGGCTAATTCTCTCGTGACACACCCCCGAGATTGCTGACTAGCTGGGTATAGGCAGTAATCTCTGTACTAGCCTCATTGAGTCATAAATGCGCAAATCTCTTCCTATCTGCATGTGATGCCAAATCTAGGTTCTCTTTTGATTGGATACAACTAGTATTTGGTTCTCTCTGGATACGTCTAATAGGCTGAGCGGAGATAGTGGGGCAACAGAGCAGGGTCCTCACATTAGCTCCAATAGGCCAAGATCAGATGACTAATGTGGGTCTGTTGAAATACCCTCTTATAAATGGGCCCACAGAAAACCACTACAAGAGAGCACGGTAAGTGAAGAATTATGCCACTGCGCTATAAACGCATACCGGGCTCATAACTATCACGCTAAAAGTGATATCACCGATAGCATTAAGCTAATTGGGTTTATATAGGCTAATTCTCTCGTGACAATTAATAATATTCTAGGAGTATGTGCAACGCGCTCCTAGCGCTCTACTTTCGACTACAAACTATATATTAGGGGAGTGGATTTTATAAGTAGAGCTTTGGTTAGTAGGTTGAAAACATTATAGAAAGACTGCCTAACTAAGAGTCTGAAATAACAAGCCTGCGAGATATAGTCGACCTTGTTGTATAGAAGAGATCTGGTAAGGTAACACGAAACGGCTATTAATCGCAAGGCGTAGTATATAATGACAGCGACAGTGATACTATCTATATGGCTCAAGAGAACGGATGTGTGTATCAGTCTATAATCGGATACTATAGGGTAGAGGGTATAATAGAGATATCAGATAGGTTTAAGGAGCAAACAGGAATGGAGGCGTGAAGGAATAGTTTTGGTTCTGGTTGGAATTTCCGAAGGTAATCATACAATAGGTGGTTTAACGTAGTCAGAAGATTCTACAGAAGCCTAATACTAGTAGCTTTATCACAAGTGAACAAGGGAAGCGTTTATAGATATAGCGACCCTACTTTGTATTATAATATATTCTAGAAAGTAGTTATAATATAATTCATTTCTGTCAGAGCAAAAGGAACTGAAATCTTGTTAAATTGGGTTCCTGGATATACCTTAGTTGAAGGAAATGAGCTAGCAGATAAGCTAGCCAAGGAAGCATTATAATACGACTTACCTTGAATGAAACAAGCTTTGGATTATTAGGTATGATTGTTAAAGAATATGTTTCAGATTAATGGCTTGATATTCTCAATCAATACAAACTCAGATCAAACCAATCCCTATCAACTTATTTGAAGCTATTTTTATGGAAAATAGGTTCCAAGATTAAGCTATTAAGTAGAACTATTTGAAATATTGTTAGCGTATTTTTTCAACTCAAATTAGATTACGAATATATCAAATCCTATTTATATTATTTCAAACTTATTAATAATAAATGTATATGCAGCAACATTAAGATATTATAATATTTCCTTATTAACTATTCTATATATAAAACAGAAAGAAAAGAAATCTTTAAGAAAATCTTATTATCCAAAATCACTATATAATTTCTATTGTATATAAAGATAAATATCGAATTAACTATCAAATTTATTAATATTATCAAAAATCGCTATAAGGGTATAATATCTAGTAAGGATTTTTTGAATAAAAAGTAATAGAGGAAGGAGTAATAGTGAAAGAAGAAAGAGGAGAAGAGAATAAAGAAAAAACAGTTGAGGAGATAAAAGGGGGGTTTGATCTTCTTATAATTTCTTGATTTTCAAAATTTTCTTATTATATATAATGTATATAATGAGCAGATATTGTTTCCTAGTATTTGTTTTTATTTCTCTAATTAGATTATATCCAATATTGTAAATTAAAAAGTTACTTGTTAGGGCCTTAGGGCCTAGCCGTTCTATATAGTCTTGGACTGAAGATGGACGTTAATAAAATCAATCAATCAATATTCTAGGAGATTAGGCTTTAGGACAAAAAAACAAACTAGAACAATAGGAATCATGGGATAAATATTATATGATCAAAAGCCGATTGACTTATCGATTGATTTGTCAATCGACTTATTGGTTGATTTCAATACGAAGGCTTATATAGGGAATAGGTTTCATTACAAGGTAGAGCTTTGTACTCAAGAATAATTATTAGTTTCATTATTATAGTTACGAGAATTGTAACCAGTTACAATCTTATTGAATTCCTACTTGAAGTTTAATCTAAACCACTTCAAAAGATCTCTAATCACTTCCACATAACCCTAGAGGCAGCTCCCGTAACATTAGAGCCCGTTCAGATCTTTTTTTAATTTGTCGTTAAACAATCCTAGAAAAATTGTTAACTAATGATTTAGTCTAAATTTTATACATTTAGATTCAATTTTGTAGTCTACGAAATCTAGAATAATAATATATTAACAAACGCTAAGAAGCTTTATTGTAGATTTAGCAAGATTACTATATAAATTTTCAAATTTTATCTTTCTGTGGTAAAACATTGTATTCAATAAATACTTATTATCTAGATCTATATTAATAACAAATGTAGCTCTATATTATCTAAAAAATCGATTCGAATAGGCCCTTGAGACTTGAGAATTCTATGTAATTCTTAGCTCGTTCAAATATTATTTCATCTTATTTCATCTTATTTCATCTTATTTCATCTTATTTCATCTATTTCATCTTATTTCATCTTATTTCATCTTATTTCATCTCATCAATCTCATTAATTTCTCCAATCTCATCCATCTCTTCAATCTCTCCAATCTCTCCAATCCTAACAATCAAATTTCCCCCATAATCACATTCACAATCACTATCACATTCTTGAGATAAACATACATACAAACACACACCCCACTTCAAATCTCCAGAAACTCCAGAAAACTCCAGAAACTCCAGCATATTCAATTGTCAACAACATCAGCACAAAAAGCAGCTCTCAAAGCCATCCACATCAGAATATCACAAAAAGAAAATTCAAGCTAAAATTACTCGTAGCGAAAAATGAAAATAAAGAGAGGAAAACGAGGGTGATAGAGAGTACAGGGGTTGAAACCTAAAGAAGAGAATGGAGAGGGGAATGAAAAGGGGAATGAAAATGCAGATGAAGAGGTAACGAATACGATTAGAAGATCACAACCGAGAGAAAAGGAGGGGAAGAATTAGGTGCGGATTATTTTACGATTACAAATCACAAACAACGGTCTTGGTACAAATTCGATTCGGAACATCTTGCAATGCTTTCTTGAAAAGATAGTTTTGAGAGAAAACTAATTCTGCAGTGTAGTTCAGATAAGGTTATAATATAGAAGCAGATCAAATGTGAAAATCTTTTCATTGTCGCCCCAAAATTGCCATTATCTCTACCAGCAGAAATCTAACAAGGCCTTTTGCTCCTCAATCTCTCTTGGGGCGGCGCATGGACGCAACATATTCGCTGGGGGATTTAAGCCGCACGATATCCTTCTTAAGCTCCTGCCATTCCCATCTCATTAGCCTTTCTGTATTTGAAAGTTTTATTGGGATAACTTACCTCAATCGGTTGATCTTGGTGAATTTTCCCCATGTATCTTAGCTCTGGGTTCACCTCCTCGATCCTAGAATCGATCTCTTTTCTGGCTTCGTCGGCCCCTTGTTGAATTGCCAGCTGCTGTCGTTTGGGAGGGTCCGGGAACTTGAATCGACTCTCGAGCAATTCTTTTTCCTCCGTATTCAGCTTTCTCTTGACATCGGTTATTTGCTGGTAAGAAGAAAGCGGAATTAGCAATTGCATCTGATGGATCAATTCTACACGAAAAACAAAAAAGACTCTGACCATCGGGTCTTACCTTCTCAACAATTTGGTCCACTTGGCCTTGAACACCCTTCTTCCAATCCTCGATCTTGCCCAACTGACTAGCAAAATCCGACCCCTCTGGTAGTCGGGTCATGAGATCGACGATATGAAGACCATCGATCAGATGAGGGGTGTAAATGTCCTTGTACATTTTGGCAATATCTTTGAATTGCTCGAAACTGGCCCATATTTGAATTGCGTTTGTTTGCAGAAGCTGAGCAGTGTTAGCATGGTTTATGTCGAAAATATTTGCACTAGGAAAATAACTACTTACGATGAGATCGAACATCAATTTGTGATTATCGATGATATGCTCGACCCTCCCTGTGAATGGTGAAATTTGGGACATCATCACAGTGTCCACTCTGGTTTTGAACGTGCGGAAAAAGATCAGCATGCGCGTAATGTGATCCTTCAACGTTATGACGTAGTCTATGCAGTCGTTCAGGACTTCCTTAATATCTTTCTGAACGATAGTCAGTAACCAAATCATTTTGTTCTCCATTGACACCCAAATGCCCTTACCAGTGTCAATTTTGTTCCGGCAAGATTCTGCCCCTTGGATGTGATCTCGCTGACGTTGGATTGCAGTTCTGCAAGGTCTCTCTTCATTTGATCGAGCGCGATTTTGGCGGTTGTGTGCCCCTCTCTTGCGGTCTCTACCAAGAAGCGATGGGCCGACACGACATGTTGACTCACACTCTGTCCGGCTACGGCAGGTGGCGATGCGAGAGCCAGGTTAACTGGGGACATAGCGGGCCGAGAGGCTTGTTTGGATCCTTTCCGGGCGACTTCAATCTTCTGGACAGCGGCCAAACCTTCTTCCACTATATCAAGCCACTTCTTAATTTGCTTTTCCGTGGGCTGCTCCCAGTCCTTGCCCACCGTCTTTGCACTTCTGGCCAATTTTTCGAGGTCGTCAAGTACCTATGAACTCATTAGCAGTGCTATGACACCGTCAGAATGAGGGAACTTTTACCGGATCCACTGTATCAATTGCACGAAGCAATTTCTTTCCTGTCTTAGAGTTTTTCTTATCACTTGATTTTTTCAAGATTTCGCTGTTCATGTTGAGCATTTTATTCACAATCACCAAGTCCCACTGTCTCCCGTCTCGCGCTGCAGCCTTTTCACTGTCTCCCACGCCAGTTACCAAGTTCCATTGGATCCCATCCTTGTCGTCGCCTTTTAAAAGACCTTCAAGCTGTTCCAGGGCATTCCTAATCAATCCAGCTTGAAGATGGGCTTTTTCGTCCCCAAGACTACTCTTAGCCTTGGTTTCTTCCTTGTCATCCTTGTCATCAGTGTCTTTTGAACCTTTTCTGCCTGTATCTGGCTCAAGGAATTAGCAGCATCCAGAAATCCGTTGGCAGCATGGGCAAAGACGGCACCACTTTTGACCATCGCAACTGCAGACCCAACATTGCCCAGTGCCGTGAAAAGTCCAGTCACACTGTCAGCGAGACTTTTGAAGATGTCCATCTTTGCAAGTTCATACTGTGAGCAAATATTAGTACTAGTCAAATGTCATAAGAAAGAACAATTCACATACCCACGAGGAAAATCTTTCAATTCTCTGTCGAGACTTTCTTTCAATTCAGCAACTTCTTCCTTCTTGCTTTCCAGCTCTAACTTCATCCGGGCCTCCTCTCTCTCGTAGTGCTCTTTGCGTGCTTTATTTAGAATGGCTTCCTTCTCGTTTTCCAGAATGGCTCGCGTGGCTCCCTGGTCTCGGTCTTCACATGCCTGATGAAGGTCCTTGACAATCCCTTCCCAGTTCACAAAGTCCTTGAGCATCCCTTCAGCAGATTTGAGGCAATTTTCAGACAATTCCTTAAGCGTCTTTAGCTCTACTCCTACGTTGGTATTCTGACGGGAGAGTGTCTCAAAAATGGCATAACCTGTCAATAGGTGTTAGCATCATGGAGTGCGAAAGGACTCAAATATTCCCTACCAGATCCTCGACGGCGTCAGATTTCTGGTGGATATTTTCCATGTGCTCGAAAGCATTGCCAAAAGCAGTTCGACCAACGTTACCAACTTGAACCAGGGCGCCTTGAAGAGAATCGTTCCTAAATGGGGGTCAGCCTTGGACAAACCTCTAAGAGATTAGAAAAGAATCAATTTACCTTTCGGAGATACTGAAAGTCCGGATTATGATATAGCTCTAATCCTGAGGCTTCAGGTCTTGCGGCGACGGCAGCACACATGGCCAGCAGCTGAATGCAAGCCGGTGCTACGGAAAGAACACCCATCCATTCGAAATTAGTCTCCCAATTCTTAGCTTGATATCTATACTCAATGGTCAATCCACAGAGGGCTCAAACTTCAGGGATAACAAACTCATAACCATCCATCACTTGCCAAGGTTGAGCAACCTCCTTCTCGCGGAGCTTGTCCATCTCGCCTCTGGTTATAATATCGGTCGACATGTTGATCGGCTGAGTTACTGTTTATTCAAAGAGTATTGTAACTTTGATCAGTAATGATATAGAATGCAGAATAGGTGATGGGAGCTTCCTTTTATGTATGTTTTGTATCCGCTTCGTTTTCGCAGAAGGTAAGGTCGTACCCCATGTGACTGTGACATAGAATCTTGACGTCCATCTGAGCTGAGTTCAGCTGGCAGTCATGAAGCTTTTAGCGGGTCATTCAAAACACGATTTAAGTGGGTATGTCCCATTCCAATTGGTGGAATCAGCTGCAAGAAACACAGAATAGAACAATCGCGCGCAGATCATTATGAGACCTGCACGTTTCCGCGGATGTTACCTGCACAAGATCACTTTAATCACACTTTAAATCCCTTGCTTGCATGAAAAAAAGTGTTCACTGTTCTGATCGAGCTCTTGAACCCGCAGATCTAACCACATCATGGCCGGGAGCTTCAGAAGAGAGCAGCTGAAGAATTTTGATATTGCCAGTTCTAGGATAACGAAATCCAATAGTGTGTGATAAACCTGCTTTCAAGATTATTATCACTTTTTTTGTGAAACAGACGGTGACAAGTGTCAAAGCCCCACTTTTGAGAGTTTGCAAAACATCGAATAGATACGAGAGAAAAGCTCATCAACAAATTCAGCTTTCTTCCAAGCTTGCCCCACGGGGTCTCCCCCGCGCGGCAAGCGATTGAAGTTCAGCTCCTAATGAATATTTCAAGTCGCTTTGTGCAACCAAAGCATAGATTCTAGACCGAAGATCTTTCGTCGCATGGCGATTTCGTGAGATTTGAAGGTATGTGGAACTGAGCTCGAGATCTCGGATTTGAGCGAACTAAATTCGGTGATATGACGAGTCAATTTTCCCACATTAGTTAGTTCTTCAGACAGATCCAATTGCAACACTTGTTCCAGCACTTTTACGGATTCCCCACAATATATCATAAAGGCCGTATACAGATACCCGAAGACACAGCAATCCTCCCACAGATCAACTTATCAGCCCTCATTCTTCATACTCACTGAGTACATCATTCACCATGTCGAGCTTTCAACTACGAAGAACCGTTCAGGTTTACCAGAACCCACTCATATCTGCTACAGTTCCGACTCTCATTTTCACAGCCATGAGAGCCACAGCTGTGTCTGCTCGGACATACCAAAATGGCGGTCCATGGCATACACCAGTAAATCCAACCTGGAGACAGAATCGTTTCTATGCAATAAATCGACGGGAACCAAAGCAAATAAAGAATATAATAGACGTTTTGACAGTCTATGCCTCAGGTCGGCAGATTCAAAAGACAATCAAAACGTTAGAAAATGACGCCAAAGTCCATTTAGACGTGACTGCAAGGGTGGACATGAAACTCATCCCTGCCTATGCGACCTTGCTCGACTTGACAATGAAGATGGTTGCGGATGCAAAGCCCCCTGAGCTATGGAACCAAAGCCAAAATGGGGAAACCTTTCGCCAACAATTTCCAGAATCTCTACGTAGCACAGTGAAGTGGATACAAAACAATTCCAAGGCACTCAAACCCCCTTCACATAGCGTCGTGGATCTGGCACAATCAGCCGTCAGACCCTTTGAGGATGCCCGGGACTTGTGTCTTACAACGCAAGACCGTCTGGGTAGAATTCATGAGCAGGTATTAACTCCACCCTCCAAATTTTATTTCGCAGCTAAAAAGATTGAAACCAGATCATGGACATGCAACATAATATTGGTATTTTCAACATAGAGCTAGAACGAGCAGACAAAGTACATCCCAGAGACAGAAAGATGCTGGCGCAAGCACGGGATAATGCAATAAGTCGCCAGTTTGTCACATCAAACGATGCATATACAGCCGCTCTGAATGATGCCAAGATCGCTCAAAATATGATCAAAATGCTTAATGAGTGGGTTCAACCGTACTTCGACAGCGGGGAGCTCAAGGGTCTTAAAGATGAGGTTAGTCTGCTACTAGATCGCACAATTACTCAGAAAGACGTTTTGGAGCGGATCTTAACAGATCACGTGCGGGGGACGGCGATTGTGGCCAACACCTGGTTCCGACCGGTATTCCACCATCGGTTTGCCGAAAAAATCTTGGATATACTGGCTCTGGCTCCCCCATCCGAGATGATGCTTCCACACATGCGAAGCATCCTCGCTCTTCTCTCATGGCCGGGTACTTCTGTCCTGACACCAGACTCAGACAGCCTCGCGAGATGGAGAAGAAGGCCGCAGTCGGATTTAAAAACACGCTTGGATGAAATTGTAAAAATGGCCGAGGCTTATCAGAAGCGATTTTCTTATCAGGGGTCTGAGTCTGCCCTTAGGCGATACATGAACTGATTTCTGCTGCAATGTTTTCAGATAGATGGATACTTATTCAATGTATGTTGCGAAGCGTATGCTTTAGAAACTAGAGATGATTTTAAAAACACAGGTATAGATTCATGAAACTTGTATAATATCCTTGGCAATTTTTGATTTTTGCTTGGCCTTTTTTGATGTTATTCGCCCTTTGAATGAGGCCTGTATTGTGTAACACGAAAGACTTGTTAGTAATATTCTACATTTTTCTCTCATGATATCTCACGTTCAGGGTCATACGTACTTCTTGCGCTCCCTTGACTTGACCCCAGTGTGCATGAGTTTCGACATGAGTCAGACCCACTTTCAAGCTGAGCATTGACTCTCGAAATGAGTTTAGAACTCTCGATATCAACAATCGCACGAGTGGATATCAGAATTCCCGTGCACGGGGCCATAAGCGCTCATTTTACTCACCTTTACTCACCTCAATAAATCACAGAAAGCTCTTTCAACCCCCAACTACAGCACCATCAACACGTTCTAGACCGTTCAAAACACCTACTCTCGAGCATCTGAACGGCAGGAAAGCCGATACTCCACGGAAAAATTCCACTCTCTGCTACATCAGCCCGTGACGACAAAGGGTTATTTCGTACTAGTGCAGCAACATACAACATTATGCCTTCACCGCACGCGATTAGAGCAACAATATAAGGAGAAAGAAGGCATAGCAAAGGGGAAAGTAGGCCTAGGTCGAAGATCTCGGAAGGAGCTCGAAAGTCACCAAACCGATGTTGCATGCCAGATGCTCGTGTTCTTGTCGCGAGATCCGGTGTGGAAAGTAACCTCTTGGAGCTTAAATCAATTCCACAACCTATCTGGGAAAATATGCCTGTTAGGTCGTAATTTATATGAGATAAGTATACTAAGAAGGGTGCAAGTATCCATCTCTGTGTATTTACTGTATCGAGAAAATTATCACAGAGAAGAAATATAAGGGCAGGATTACAAATAGCCGTACTCATTCTCTCGATCCGATATTCGGATTGTGGGAGCATGCGCAGAAGCAGAATATGTATTGATAATTCTTCGTAGAGTCAATACAAAATATTGCAGAAGTAAAGGATACTCACTAGGCCCGAGAAAATCGAAGAGGCCACCGCTTACGGGTGTACAATTGCTTCATGCAGCTTGGATGATTTGGTGGGGGAAATCAGAGAAAAGAGATTGATGTTCTACAATGACGAGCAAGAGCAAGATAAAATTGAGCAACCTCTCATGCCCCGAAACCTTATCAGTGTCCAGAAACTCAAACGAAGGAGAATTATCACCATCGATTAATCGAATGGGAGGCATCCAAGCCGCATGCGCGGGAGGTAAAGAATCAAGGCAACGCAATCACTCCAAAGTACTATGTAGAGAAGCGACTACCTAACTCTATTGATGCTATAAAAACAGGCGGAAAATCGATAAAACCGTAGCTTCTACAAGATTATAGTAACCCGTCTATGACGAATGCTTGTCTTCCGAGTCACATGAATGTGGTCAGGATCGCATGAATACTAGGAGTCCGAAACTAGTAGTATTGTCGGAGGTTTATTGGTGATGACATTCACACAGGGAACTCATCGCAATACTAGATTAGGTCAACAAGTAGTAATCGAAATTGAGCATGAAGGTCTATAAACTCGAAGAAATGTATGTTGTATATATAGACCTTCGTTCTCCGTTGCTCATCGATGCTCGCCGCTAAGCAATGTTGAACGTAGGTGAAACGTAGAGACACTAGCCTCCTCTGATATACGAGATCGATTTCGATTGACGACCTTTGCTATTATGCAATTGTATTTGTAAGTACACTTATACTATCGTGTTCTTCGGTCAACTACGTGAAAAGCGTCCAAATGGTTGTTTTTCCCAAGGAGTTGCATTCCTTACACGTGATAGAGAAACATCACATGATATGCCAAGCCGGCCTTCGGCATACCAACGTAAGTAGGCCTTGCCTATTGCGTTATGGGCTCTTCGCTAGGAAAACATTTGTGTCAAATGGCAAGCAATTGTTTCGTTTGTGGATAGTAAATGGAACGGCTTGCTGGCTCGTACATCAAAGCCGCACTGTATGCAAGAGCCCGACCGGCCGACCTATCCATTGGGTGATCGCTCCATACACCCTGGATCTAGTAATGTATGATACCGAGACCGAGAAAGAAGGCGCAGTGAGTACATTAGTTATTGGGAGAGTGGAGTTTAACTGTTGATACCCGTACCACGAAGTGAGGTGATGCTGTGGGCAGAGAGTGACAAGACCATGAGATAGATTTCCGTATCACCAGCATATCGGCTGTGTATTGGAGTTTCGAAGTTGAGTCGGATGAATCGGCTTCGACTATCATGTGTGGGAAACTAGGTATTGGGAAATACATCTTATATGGATGCTATTGGTTTGAATGTTGCGAACAGATGAGATCTTGCAAGTAACCTCAATATTTGTGAGGACTGCGCCTCCTTCATTCGAAAAAAAGATGGCATTCCGATCTCGCAAACGGATAGGTTAGTGAGACTCAATTAGGAGCTGAAATTCGTTTGTTTGAATGGATTAGGCAGATGAAATTCTTTTGAAAAATGGATGGAAGAGATGATGATGTGTTGATAAATGTTGAGACAGGAACTCACTAATAAAAAAATTCTAGGGAAATCCGCAAAGATGGGATTGAGGATTCTTGGCAGGGCTGAGCTTTGAGATCTTCAGAAATGAACCTCAAGAGACATGATATCACGAAAACGAGAAAAGAATGTTGTGAATGGTTTGGAGAGAAGAGACAAGGCGGATTATATCTTACGTAAAGTAAAGATGCCAGATGGAGTAAACTTCTAGAAGGTCTGGTGGACGATAAGACATGTGGTTGGGGCTTACTGGGTAATCCGAGATTTCGAATTCGGATTCGGGTTGAGGTAATTGGAATGGGGGTAATTCCGGTTGTTTTCAAAGGGTCGGATGCGTCTGTGATAGGATGGTATAGTATTTGTATTTCTTTTGAGGGAATTGTGAGATCTGATCTCTTTCGCCTCCTTCGGGATGTGATGAGAATGAATGCTGGGATGGGAGTTGGCCGTGTAGATGTATACTTGAGTAGATGTGTTGCGCCCTGCTTACACGATGTAGAGGACGACGAAAGAGGAGTGGGAGAATTTGTATCATGAATCGCGAATCATGAGTCGTGAATTCCATGTATGATATGGTTGTTGACCGAGTAAATAATTGTAAGACGGATGAATCCTTTTCTGTAATCGATGTAATATGATGTAAGGTTCATCGATGTACGATGTACGATGTAAGGTTATCATAAATCCCGCTTTGCCGGGCGCAACGCTTAGTGGCTTTCCCTCTGTTTGTAGTGATGTAGCGACAAACAAGCTTTTCTGACTTTACAAGGTTCATTCTTATCACGAGGGATGAATGAGTGAAGGCGCAGGAAAGAAGAAGCAATAGTTGGAGCACAGGAGTATCACAAATGAAGGCGCAGGAAAGAAAAGAAAAGAAATCGGGAAAAGATAATACGGCATCATCGATTGATTTAGATATTTGGTACCAGTGCAAAACATACTAGGTAATATTCGTATATTAACCTTATTGTATTGAGTCCTTGGAGTTTATTTCAAGTCTCTCCTCCAATTCTTTTTATCACTTCTCACTTCACTCGTCACTCTCCATCACTCGTCACTCTCCATCACTCGTCACTCTCCATCACTCGTCACTCTCCATCACTCGTCACTCTCCATCACTCGTCACTCTCCATCTCTCCATCACTCCATCACTCTTGAGGCCTTCTCCTGCTGATGATTACCTAAGAGATCAACCTTGCGACCCACTTATTTACCACCCATCCTCCGTACAGCCCACCAACCCATTCCTTCCCCGCAAAAAGGTCCAAGCATTCAGTCAAACAGCAGCTTCCGCCTTCCATCGTGCCTACCAATTAGGGTTACCTTGCAGTTGATCACTTGCTGCAAGAAACTACATAATCAATCGCAACGCCCACCTCGGATTGATTCTCAGAATTGTCATACCACGTTGGAAAAGTTCAACTTATTACCACTTCCAGGTTACATATGACAACTTCTTCATTACATTTTTCAATTTGAATACTTTAATACTCTACTCCTATCGACATATTATCAAAAGCTCTACAGATCCTCCAACTCTCAAATTCTCAAATTCTCAAAACCTCAAAACCTCAAAACCTCAAAATGTCTTCAAGCTTTGATGGTAAACAAACTACGACCGATGACGTTCATAAGCCATTCTCATCCACCTCGGCCGCTGGTAATTCATCAGCTCAACACAATGGATATAACCATTCTCGCAGTACGGGAGCTGCTCATTCCGAAGGCCCTTTGATTAACGTTCAACCACCAAGAAGAGAGGATCTTCAACCTTCCTATGCCCAAGTTTTACAAGGCGATGATGATACAAGTACCAACGGATGGTATGGAAGCATGAGTAAGTTTGAGACCTTTGCAGATCATGGCGCAATTCAGCAGATCAAGACTAATTATTGTTCGCACATAGTTAATGCTCTTGGTTCATGTATTGGTGCTTGCGGTGCTGTGCCTTGTTGTATTATCTGCCCCAATCCATATAAGCCAGTATCGCAGGGTAATGTTGGTCTTGTTACCAAATTCGGTCGCTTCTATCGTGCAGTCGATCCTGGTCTGGTCAAGATTAACCCTCTCAGCGAACGTCTCATCCAAGTCGATGTTAAGATTCAGATTGTTGGTATGTTTAATTCCTATCATTTCACGAAATTCCATTCTCCTAGAATGTGTCATTAACTTTTATTCTACAGAGGTTCCTCAACAAGTTTGCATGACCAAAGACAACGTTACCTTACATTTAACCTCTGTCATCTATTACCACATTACTTCTCCTCATAAAGCTGCATTCGGTATTTCCAATGTGCGCCAAGCATTGATTGAACGTACACAAACTACTCTTCGCCACGTTGTTGGTGCTCGTGTTTTACAAGATGTCATTGAGCGTCGGGAAGAAGTTGCGCAATCCATCGAGGAAATTATTGAGGATGTTGCATCAGGGTGGGGTGTCCAGGTTGAGAGCATGCTCATTAAGGATATGATCTTCAGCAACGAACTTCAAGACTCTCTTTCCATGGCCGCGCAATCTAAGCGTATTGGAGAATCCAAGGTTATTGCGGCTCGTGC